AAAGCTTTGCATCCTGTTCATTTTTCTCTCGCCAGTTCCTGCACATAACAGCACTAACTAACATTGGATGAATGAATGAATTAGTGAAGGGATGGACAGAAGTCTCTAGAGCAAACTTCTGCCAATGGAATGCCACTCTGGAGGTAGGGATACCAAGCATTAGAGGTGGGTTGGAGGACCGCCTTTTGAGACCTCCAGCACCCCTCTGTGCTACAGGCCAGTGCCTACTTTGCCTGTGTCTAAGGTTAGTTGTGAGAAAAGAAATGCTGCTCCTGAGAGCAGGGAAAAGACAGCATCTTATACCTTAATTTCCTTGAGCCCTGCTTGGCCTACTTTCTCCAGGCCCATTTCTGCGGGCCTGTGCTACTTTGTAGAGCTCCTATTCATGAACTAGGAACTATTAATGACACCCCAGGAGCTGATATTATACTTGACCTGAATTATGTTTTAGCATTAATGCTGTGAAGTTTCACAGAAGAGAACTAACTTGAAGTTAATGCTCCCTGAAAAGAAAATGAGTAGTCCCTGGTTTATTATTAGAAAAATCCTGGCCTTGGGTCTGAATTTTTTTTTTTGTATTAAGGTCCAAAAATATTAAAAAGTTGGACTGACTAGCCATGGAAAGCCTATGTGAGAGTCCTCAGCTAAATCCAAACATGAGAAAAGTCAAACAGTGTATAGAAAACAAAGAAATGAATCACAGCGTTGGGTAAACTGCTGGTTGGCACAAATCCATAAACACAGACCAAGAAGTGTCTCTGCGAAGATGTGAGAAATATCTGTGGAAAGTATCTCAGAAATAGATCTGACTTTGACCTGAAATCTTGACTATGACTGCGCTTTGTCCCACAGCCATGGGAAGCAAAGGTAATAGAATCTGGTACTGGGAGTAGCGGAATGGGGCCAGGACCAGGTGTCGGGAACCCTGGGTCAAATAGCTGTACACCACATGTAATGTTCGTTAAAAAGCATAGCACAGGGAGATAGGCTCGGTGCTTTGCGATGACCTAGAGGGGTGGGATAGGGAGGATGGGAGGGAGGCTTAAGAGGGAGGGGATGTGGGGATATATGTACACATATGGCTGATTCACTTTGTTGTGTAACAGAAACTAAAATGCTATTGTGAAGCAATTATACTCCAATAAAGATCTATTAAAAAAAAAAGTCCTGTCCTTGCCACATGTACTACTATGCAACTGACTATAGACTGTTTAGTTTAATGTCCAATTTGACATTTAATTACAGTAAACTTTTTAAATTCATGGAGTTTCTTATTTCATGGTTAAAGTCATCTTGTAAATATCAGGGATACAAAGGGAGGAAGGACTTGGCCTAAGTTTTCTAAAACCTGTCAGATAACTACTTCTGTGTGCTACGTTCTAGGCACAAAAATGAGCTACCAAAAAAATGAACAGGCACAAATCGGTGTGTTCTCAATGAGTGTAGAGTCTAGGCGGAAGCATGAGACAGGAATATTTTATTTGTAAAATAAGGTAGGAGCAGAGAAGTAATGATAGCTAGCATCTATTAAACACTCAATAAGGCAAGGCACTATTCTAAATGCGTTACATCTACAGGCTCATTGAAACCTAACAAAAACCTTATGAGGTAGGTACTACTATCAGCTCCATTTTACAGATGAGAAACCTGAAGCAAGGAGAGGTTTATAGCTTGCCCAAGTTCGCAGCTAAGGGGCCAATAGGAATTTGAACTCAACTGGTGTGACTGCAGATCCCGCATGCCTAACCGCTAGACTATTCTGCCTGCCGAGGATCACCTGAGAGATACGTACCAGAAGTGTTCTGGGAGCTCAGCTGAGGGAGATATTCACTGCACCCAGGGAGAAAGATTACCCACACTCTGTGGGAGAGGTGAACTTCGCACTAAGCTTCAAAGGATGGGGAGAATTTGGACATATAAATGTTGACAGTCAGAGTGGAGGAAGAATTCAAAGAAAAGGAGAGAAGTGTTTCCAGGTGGAGAGCAGCATTAGTAAAACATTGAGTGGTAAACACACAGGGTCTAAGGAAATAGCCAAGATCAGTCTGGTTGTATTAGAATGTGCCAAAACAAAGTGGTGGGGAAAGGGCTCGGGGGTGAGCTGGAGCTAGACCTGAAAAGTTTGTTCATAAAGATGATTTTTACTAACCTACTCCCAGTACTTTGCCGAACTGATTAACTTATCACCAAAAGCCACTCTCAGAGAGAAACTTTGACAATACAAATGAACAGAAGAGAAAGTTAAAAAAAAAAAAAAAAAAGCCTTTCCCCCAAGGAACAGCAAGTGCAAGGGGACTTCCTGGAACCTCCAGTTCCAGTTTTCTGTTTCTCAGCTATGACCATCTTCCAGATGTTCCAAGTCAGCTGTACACTGTCAAACCATTCGATAAATAAGGGCACACATCACATATTGGATGGTAATCAGATTCTTGGCACTGGTCCTTAGTAATCATGCAGAATTCTAGAGTTTCTTTAGAAATAGTTGGGGTTTGACTTACTGTTATAGCCATGCAAGTAATATGTAATTAGAGTGTAAAATGAATTCATGTATTTATTTTAGAGTTGATAAAGCCTTTAGAAACCATGCCCACTTATCCTGCAGTGGAACAAACAAAGCTGAAAAGGTTAAATGGACTTCCTTGAAGTCATCCAGCAAATCAATAGCAAAATCACTTTTGATCACAAAATTTTTGGAAAGTAGAACAAAAGCTCTTATTTCACACTTATAACATCTGCACACAGATAGGTATCCAATGTTCTCCTGTTCCACCATTCATCCATGAGTCTTTAAAATTTGGTTAAAACACAATATTCAAATAAGAGCCTTTAAAAATGTTGAACACAGATGTTTTATGCTTAGGAAAGTGATCTTTTTTTTTAATACACCAAGCTACAAAATAATTCCGTAGGGATATTAAAATTAACAATAGCTGACCCTGCTTGAGCACTTGCTCTGAGCACTTAAAATGCTTTATCTTATATCATTAGGACGACAACCCTCACAAAAGAACGACTACTGTCCCCATTTTATGGTTGAGGAAACAAAGAGATTTCATAACGTGCTCAAGATTACACAGGTAGTGAGTACCAGACTGTACTCAAACCCAGGACCACCTGACCCCAAATTCTGTGTTGTTAACTATTATAATACACGACCTCCATAGCTAGCAGTGCATGGAACTTACCTTTTTACCAGGAGATGTTAATTATTCAGACAAGGTCTAGAAACTAGAAGGCTTAACCTTTAAAAATGTTTACCCTGAACTGAAAACCTCTAGGTAGGAAACAGGGTTTTATGTGTGTCTCAACCAACCGTCTTTGCTGCACTTTGCTGGGGAAATAGACGCCCTGGTTTATTACACAGTCAGAATGTCAGTGGCTACTGTGATTGTTAGCAGCCTGTGGCCTACCCAGTGCCTTGGCCATCAAACGTCTGCCCTGCCATGAGTGAAGCCTGGGACCCTGAGCGGGAGACTAGGGTCTTGAGAAGTTGTGCTTTGGCTACGTAGGGCCCAGCCTTTTGTCCCTTCCAGACCCACCTTTCTTTCCACTGACCACAGGCCCCATTGGCTGCACTGAAGACATGGACTTTGGCTCTCCTGCTTCCTCTCTGTCCTCCTGCCACTGCCCTTCTTTATTTTATTTTTTTATTTTATTTTATTTTTTGCCACACTGCACAGAATGTGGAATTTTCCTGACCAGGGATAGAAGCCGTGCCCCCTGCAGTGGAAGCACGGAGCCACCGAAGTCCACCACTGCCCTTCCTCAAATCTCCATCAATCATCTCTTACCGGGACTACTCCAAAAGCCCCCTATACCCTCCTGCATCAAACCTGACACCTTCCAATCCATCCTCCCCTCTGCAACCAGAATGCTCTCTCTCAAATCATTGGAATGATCATGTCAGTCCTCTACTTTGAAATCTTTGATGGCTTCATGTTGCCTGCAAAACAGAATTCATACTCTCAAGCATGGCATTCAATACCCTTCACAATCTGGCCCTTCCTTACCTTCCGGGATTCAAAAAAATATTAGTAAATGCTTAGAAATATCTCCTGCTTAGAAATTCTGTTAGCAAACATTCCCTATACTTGTTATTCAATAATCAGATCTATTGAGTGTCCACAATGTGTTGAATTCTAATCATCACTATTTTTTCACAGTTATGGACGTAAAATCTAGAGACATGGGTTTAAGAGCAGTTCTGGCCCTTTCTCTCTACATGGATTTGGGCAAGTCTTTTCCTTCCTCCAGGCCTCGGTTTCTCTATCTGCCTAAAAGAAGGTAGAATGGGGCTTCCCTGGTGGCGCAGTGGTTGGGAGTCCGCCTGCCGATGCAGGGAACACGGGTTCGTGCCCCGGTCCGGGAAGATCCCACATGCCGCAGAGTGGCTGGGCCCGTGAGCCATGGCCGCTGAGTCTGTGCTCCTCAACGGGAGAGGCCACAACAGTAAGAGGCCCGCGTACCGCAAAAAAAAAAAAAGAAGGTAGAATGATCTCTGTGGCTCAAACAGCCCATGTCTATACTGGTCCCTGATACTAGATTCCCCTTGAAAGAAGAACCAAGTATGTTAGCCCTTAGCCAGCCAAAGATGTGTGTCCCTCAGCTGATTCCTGCACTTAGCAGCTTGGAGACATCCTTTCTTTACCCTCTCACCACTTCAGCACTGTCCCTTGGGCTCTCCCCACTGGCCCTGCCCTGAATCCCAGCACTGGCGTCTACATCTTCAACGTAATAGACCCTGAAGCTGAGACAATGGAGCTCTTAGAGCCTTCAGCTATGATCTCACCTTCTGAGCTAGATTTTTCTTGGCCTATGATTGCTCAGCCCCAACCAGGAAAAAAAAAAAAAGTGCCCCTACTCCAGGAAGTGCCGGTGCTGACTCAGCATGCTGTAGATCCGGACTGGAGCAGAAATTTGTGTGCGCCTGCCTTGTAGGCTCCAGTAGCAGAGAGAGAGAAAAAATCCAGGCAATCCTGAGAGCAAAGAGACTTCAAGGGTTGGTGTGAGGGAGAACTCCTTTATTGAGAACCTTCTGTGTACCAGGCACTTTCAATCTGGGCTACAACTTTGCAAAGCAGGTATTATTATCCTACTTCCAAAGCTCAGAGAGATTAAGTAACTTTCCCAGAATCCCGTGACTAGTAAGTAGCTGTGGAATTCAAACCTAGGCCTCCAAAGACCTGCATTCTTTCTTTCACACATGTGAGGAGCAACTGGGAAAGAACTTAGGAAGTCTTGAGAGTAAAGCTAGCTGCTCAGGGAATACTCCCTGGATGGTTATTCTAAGGAAATGGGCGAAATACTGGGATAGGATAATATTGAATCTGAAATCCCCAGCGCTAACCATAAGAAAAGGTAGAATGACAATCACCATACTAAATTGCTTTAGGTCATAAATGAACATGGTCCTTTGCCAGGGGGGGGTGGTGTGGGGGGCACACAAAATGATGCTGTTAATCCCTTGAACATGAACGTGACTAATAAGCTGGGTGTGGCATCAGTCATCTCGTCCACACAGCTGTCTGGGCAGGCTAATCTGTGGTTGGAACCTCCAGTTCTGTCTGCCCAGTGGCGTGCTGCACTCTAATCTCTTGGCTTCACAGCTAGCTTGACATTTCTGCTGAGTCTGACTCACTCGCTTCCAGCCTCAATTGTTCTGTGCCAATGCAGACTTCTTTTACAGTTGGCCTATTTAGAAAGACAGGATGTTAGTGTTGGAAGGAAACAACCCAGGAAGTCACCTAGCATAACCCCTTCATGTTACAAATGAGAGAACGGGCCCCAGAGGAGGTTTGGTGATGTCTGAACTCGGGTGGGTTGAAGTGTGAGGCATGATGGGACCCCAGCCACACAGGCCTGTCGGGCAGCAGGAGGAAGCTGTGATCAAGCGACACTGGAGCTGGCAATACGAGCTCTGCTGCAGGATTACTGGGGCCCGGGTGGGGCACAGGGAGTGGACCCAGCCCCTTGGAAGAATGGGCTGGGATAGGGAAGCCGAGTGTCAGGATCCCAGCCAAGCAAGTCTGGAGTTCAGGGCAGGGCTTCTGTCTCAGCAGGAAAATATGAGGCTGGGGAGGAGAATTAGGCTGAAGGTTAGTTGTGAGGACTGGACCAACATGCCCAGGAAGGTGAAGGGGTGTGAAGAGTCATAACCGAGAGGCTATCGCGGTATGCAGAGGTCACCAGAGCACAATAAAGCCCAGATTAGTGTCAGCTCACCCCAACCCCATGGGGGGCTGTGGCTGATGCACTTCTTACCCTTTTCAGGAAGGCTTCAGCTTGCAGCTGGAGGTAGTCAGCAGCTCCAGATATAGCTGGGGAGCCGGGAAAGATAGCACTGAAGTATTCCATCCATTCTGCCTCCCAAATGTCTCTGGAATCTCCCTTTCCTCCATTTCTATTGACAACGTCCTGAGCCCTGGTCATCGCCCACCTGAATTATTACAATAGAGTTTTGGTTCAATCTCTTAGCCTTTGCCTCTACTAAAGCATTCTTCTTGTTGTCACCAGAGTAATGTTTCTATGATACATGAGGATGTCACTTGCTTTCTATAAATGTTGGGTGGCTTACCATTGCATCATAGCCTTTCTCAACTGGGAGAGTCAAGCCCTACAGAAAATTACTGGAGTGACTCTTTTCTCCATTCTCTCTAGGATGGTACAAGCTAGTATCATTCTAGGCATACAGGGGATAAATTGATTTGTACAATGGATACCTTAAGTCTAGAGGGCTTAAAAAGTCCAAATGTCTAAGCCTGGCTTTCCAGGTCCCACACAGCCTCAGCCCAACTTCCCCTAGCCTCATCTCCCGCCCTCCCTGCCTCACATTCTGTGCTCTGGTGGCACCAAACTCTTCCCATTTCTTTATCACACTATTTTTGTTCATGTCTTAATGTTCTTCCTTCTACCTGGCCTCCCTATTGACCTTGTAAAATCTTAATCATCCTTCAGATGTTACCTCCTCTTTGGTGCCTCTGTAGACTTCAAAGGTCGATTAAATTATTCTTCCTCTATGTACCCATATTATTTGGTATGTGTGCCACTGTGCAGAACATCCTTCATAGTTGGAGGTTTACTTATCTGTGTGACCTACAAAATCTTGGTTCTGCACAGCAGGCAACATTCCCGCCCCACCCCCTGCCCAGACCTGAATAGATGTTTATCAAACTGAATGGTCCAAAGCTCCCTAGGTAATCAAAAACAGTGGTAATTCTGGAACACAGGATGCTTGATTCTTAGTCCGCCATTATTTGGGCTTCTACACGTGACAACAACTAAATCAAACGTTAAATATGCAGGTGTGCGTGGTGGTAGCGTGGGCTGAGAGGAGCCTCCCTGAATAATTCAGAGCGAGGGAGTAAGAGCTGGTAGATTCCACTGGGAAGGGAGGATGGATCCAGAAAGAAGTTAGGAAAGGTTTAGGAGTAGACCCCATCAGGAATATGCATAGGACTGACTTTGTAATTTCTTCAGGAAACAAAAAAAGAAAAAGAAGGAGAAATAGTTGGTGGTGGGGTTAAATGAAGGACACCTACATCAAGAACTGATGCCTGAAATGACTCATCAAAGCTGAAATCTGATAACAGAGAACTTACATTTGCATGTGCAGAGCACCGTCACGTATCTGATCTCACTGAATTCTCAGAATAACCCTGTGGCGCAGGTGAGGGGTGAAGTTGTGTGTGTGTGTGTGTGTGTGTGTGTGTGTGTGTGCGCGTGCACGCTGTTGTTACACGCCTCCCTTTACAGAGGAGATGATTAAGGCTCAGAAAGGAGAAGTGATGTGTCCGCTGTCCCTAAGTAACACAGCTGGAACTAGAAGGCAGGCCTGCCTGTCTCTGGGTCCAGAGCCCCATTCACTTTATTTAAGAGCAGGGAGGCAGCTCCTCTGGTCTAAAAGCTGAAGGTCTTTATAAAATCAGATAGGATGACATATAGAGGTTTTTCTGAGCCACGACTCAGAGGGACACTCCATAAACTCAAGACTTTTCTAGGCTGTTTGAAAAGGAAGATAGAAACCCGTTAGTCAGCTGACTTTCAGGGAGCTGGCTCATACAGAGCGATTCTCGGCTTGAAATGGGCAACAGTCTGACAACTACAGAATCTGGGGCAGGAGACGAGAGAAGGGGGTGGTTTGTTTTTTGATCTGCCTGCAGCTCCAGTGGGTATACAGGACAGCAGATGAGGGCCCAACTGCTGCTCTTTTTGGTCGGCTTCGGATGGAGAGAGAGAGTCAGGAAGATGGAGTGGAAGAGCTGGAACCACATGAGGTTGCTCAGTTGGTACTTGCCCTCTCAGATTTATCCATGAACCTTGGAACTGTGAGACCTTAGAATAGAAGGACCGCTAACCGGGCTCTGCAGCCAATCCCTGCTGTTGTCATTGAGCGTCTTTGTTATACATTTCCCGTTGTCCAGCAAAAGGGTGAGACCCTCAGGGGCACAGAGGTGGTTTAAATCACTTTGTACCCCACTATCCAGTGTTCTGAATATATGAAACAAATCTCAGGAGATGGCTTTTTGATTACAAGAAAGATTTCAAGTTTGTTAAAAACATCTTTTATATGACTCCATGGGATAAAATTCCTTGATTTCTCTTCCCTCCCCTTCAAAAGTTACCTAGATAGTTTTTTAAATCCTCATTTATTCATTCAGTCATAGTATTTATAGGGTCCACTTTCGTGTGTTAGGGGCCTATGCTATGTCGGCCCTATGCTAGGTTCTAGGTACCAGAGGTAAACAAGAGGCAGCCCACCTTCACAAAACTTAGAGTTTAAGGTGATGTAGACTGGCGTGACTGAAAGAGACCCCAGAGACAGTCTAACTCAACTGCCTCATTTTAACAATGAGAAAATGAAGGCTCAGAGAAGGGTAGTATCTCTCTGACAACTAGTCCATGGCAAAGCCAGATAAAGAAAACAGTTCTACTTTTCAATTAAGACCCTGATCTGAAGTTATCCAGGAGGCCAAGAAAAGCATTATCTCTTTCTTGGCTTCTTGATTATTGGAGAGAGTGAGTGTTTTTCTACCCTGTCTTTTCTGGAACCCAACATGGTCTGTTAGCAATAAACCACAGTTTCCTCATTCTCTGGAACTCTATCTTCTATGTCCTTTGCAAACCCCCTCTCTCCACAGAGGCTCTCAATCTTATTACTGGAGCCCCAGGACCAGGGAAAATGTACTGCTTGAGTTTTACTTCTTTTTTTTTTTTTTTTTTTTTACAAGAAGCAGAGTATGTTAACTCTCTGTCAGAAAACACCGTGAAGTTCTGTTTCACTGTTTTCTAAAAGATTCGTTCCGTGAGAAATACTGATAATATCTGTATTAGTTAGGGTTCTCCAGAGAAACAGAACCAATAGGGGAGAGAAAAACAGAGGCAGAGAAGGAGAAAGACAGAGAGAGAGAGATTTATTTTAAGGAACTGGCTCATGTAACTATGGAGGCTGGCAAGTCCAAACTCTGCAGGGTAGGCCAGCAGGATGGAGACCCAGGGAAGAACAAATGTTGCAGTTCAAGTCCAAAAGCCATCTGCTGGCAGAATTCCCTCTCGCTTGGGAGAAGTCAGTTTTATGTTCTAGTTCTAGTCAGGCCTTCAACTGATTGAATGGGGCACACCCCCATTGTGGGGGCAATCTGCTTTACTTTAAATGTTAATCTAGTTATCATGAGGTATCATGTTCATACCCTCACAGAAACATCCAGAATAACATTTGAGCAAATATCTGGGCACCACGGCCCAGCCAAGTTGACACATAAAATTAACCTTCACGATGCTATTGATATAAGCTGAAATTTTTACCACCTCAAGAGTCATATCAGAATTCTGAAGGAGCTGTGGGTGTCAGTTGCTGGGGGAACCACTGGATGCAAAGTCCTCATGAAACTCCAGATCAGCATCGGGGAGAAGGAAGGAAGCCTGGCAAAGGTAGGAAAATCATCAGTGGACAGAGATGTTATGATTAGAAAAGGACAATCAGAAGAGGGTTTTATTTTGGCAAACCTAGAGACTCCCTAGCCCTAATCCTTTTTCTTCTGTTCTGTTTCATAGATGAAGAGGAGGAAAATTCAGAAACCAAAGACCAGATAGGAAGACATCACCTTTGCTCTTCCTTCAGATATGCTTGTGGACCAGAGTTCCAACAACCAGACCTTTGGGGCTGAGATATTTCCCCTCCTGACTCTTCCCTGTATAGGGAACTGAGACACTTGGCTTTGTGCTTAGGGAGTTAAGCCTGTGGCTATAGAAGAAGCCCTGTTGAGGCTGTGACCCTTAGTGAAGCAGCAGCAGCCTTATAGCTCTGAACATGTCCCAAGAAGGGCTTTGTTTTTTTTGTTTTGTTTTGCTTTGTTTTAAAGAAATAGAGTTATTTTTTTATACAGTTAGTAACTTTTTTAAAAAAATTTTATTTATTTTTGGCTGCGTTGGGTCTTCATTGCTGCGTGCGGGCTTTCTCTAGTTGCAGCAAGCGGGGGCTGCTCTTGGTTGCAGTGTGCCGGCTTCTCATTGCAGTGGCTTCTCTTGTTCCGGCACACGGGCTCTAGGTGCGCAGGCTTCAATAGTTGTGGCTTGTGGGCTCTAGAGCGCAGGCTCAGTAGTTGTGGCACACGGGTTTAGTTGCTCCACGGCATGTGGGATCTTCCTGAACCAGGGCGCGAACCTGTGTCCCCTGCATTGGCAGGCAGATTCTTAACCACTGCGCCACCAGGGAAGTCTCCAAGAAGAGCTTTGAACAAGGAGAATCATATACATTCAACAAGTATTACTGTGCCGGCCACTGTTCCAGATGTTGGCTATACAGCAGTGGATAAAATCCACCCAAATCCCTGCTTTCCTGGAGTTTACATTCTACCATGTGAGACAGACAATACACAATATAAATAAGTGCAGTACAACATATAATATGCTAATGACAAGTTGCTAAAAAGAACAATAAAGCAGGGAAGGGGACTAAGAAACACTGGGGAATGGACCTCGCCATTTCATATAAGATGACTAAGGAAAGCCTCACGGAGAAAATGACATTTGAGTAAGGACCGGAAGGAAGTGAGAAAGTGAGGAATGCAGACATCTAGGGAACGAGCATTCCAGACAGAAGACCATTGTGTGGGTTGAATTGTTACCCAAAAGATACATTGAAGATCTAATTCCTGGTACTGGTAAAATTTGCCCTTATTTGGAAATAGGGACTTTGCAGATGTAGTCAAGCTAAGATGAGGTCATTAGGGTGGATCCCAATCCAATGCATGTGACTGGTGTCCTTGTAAGAGGACACAGAGACACAGATGTGGAGGGAGAAGGCCATGTGGTGAGTGAATCAGAGATTGAAGGGATGCGGCTGCAAGCCAAGGAATGCCGAGGATTGCTGACCACCATCAGAAGCTAGGAAGAAGCAAGGGAGTGTTCTCCCCTACAGGATTCAGAGAGAGCACAGCCCTACCGACACCTTGATTTTGAACTTCTAGCCATCAGAACTGTGA